GGAGACCTCACTGCAGTACCTGGTTTTGTACTGGGTATCACATGTCATCTCGTTCTTTAATCTATTTTTTTTTCAAAACTGTCTTGCGGGACCAGAATTTCAAATCGGTTTGTTCAGTGATTATATGTACCTCAGCTTTCCATGCAGTCTTCCTCTGTACTAGTGCACCGTAACAGTGATTTTCTCAGGTAACCAATCTCAGTGGAAACTGCCTCAGAGACATGTAGGAAGTCAATTTTGGAAGCCAGGGTCATTTTCCTACAGAAGTCAGCAGGCTTCTGAGATGTCTGGATTTAAGGCACTGGTGTTCCAACAGTGTTCCTCTACATTAATTCCACATTGCTTGGGGAAGAAGATGCTTGGGGAAGACGATGCTTGGGGAAGACGTCAAACAGCAATTTTTCACTTTTGTATTCTTTTCATTATCATTTGATTAACATAGACAGGGAAATTTCACCTTTAGGAGGCCTGTCTGTGAAAAGCCTGTACAATACAGAGGCAACCCTTTCAAATAAATAAAATTCAAATTAAAAAAATGCTTTTGTGGAAGAAAAAAACAGGAAACTGAACCACATCTACCTAGTAGCATTAGGTCAGCATGATTACTAACACAAGCCAGAGAACCACGTGTCCTTGTAATACCTAGGCATGATGGATGACCTTTGCAGCTGGCTAGGAAAGTGAGTGGTGAGTTAAACTGACCCTTCCTTGTTTTTACATATATGGGTTGCTTTCCCTTCCTCAAAAAAACAAAAGACAGCAAACAGTAACTGGTGTATTGGGGTGTTCTGAGCCAGCAAGCTACAAAGTTAACGGACTGCTTTTTAGGGCATGGTGACCCATAGGCATGAGCAGGAGAAACAACAGGCTTCTTTTATAGACTTTGTATTTGGATGGAAACCAGATGCCTCTATTATTACATAACTTCAGGAATATAGGGTGGCATCTCACCTCTGTCTGTTTAGGGTCACCACGCTCCCCCTAAGATTGCATCTATTCTCTATTTTGTTTTCTCATATACTTACTCTTCGGTCACTTTCAAGCTCAAATTAGAGTGCTTTCTTCCCTCATTTAAGGAGGAACTGCTCTTTTCTAGATTTATGCAGAAAAATCAGCATATACATTTGCCTTGATTTTTTTTCTGCGTTAATATGTCATGATGCCCATAGTAAAGCTGAGCATAAGGAAGGAGGAAGTTTGGACTCTTTGGGAAGGTGTGAAGATACAAATTGTCTCCTCAGAGGTCTATGCCTTTCAGTTGTATCCAGTCCACACAGGCTGGATCAGTACATGTTTCTGCTAAAGCATCAGCTTGAGGGATCTGTTACAGAAACAAGAGGGTGTTACGTTTCAAGAAAAGATGACAGGAGCAGGGGGAACTCACAACCTTCTATGGTACCGGCAACATTCAAGTTGTGTCCTGTGTCTTCCATCTGTAGTCTACAGGCTGGGGTACCTCAGCCCCATCAAAACAGAGTCTGGTCTTCTCTCTAACACATTACCTTGCTGATCTGACTCTCCTCACAAATACAGAAAGCGTTGTTTCTGTTGAAGGTGAGAGCTACAAAGACAGTGCAGAGTATTCTGATTCTCAGGGCTGTTGGTCGTTTGGGGAAAAATGCAAAAGATTACGTTTGATGTAATCTTGCTTTACTCCCCAAACTTATGAACAAGTGCTGTCAAAAAAGTGGCTGTCACCCAGATTAAGTTTATTAAAGCCACATGAAGAAATTAAAACAAAATAGATGATCTAAGGTCACCCTGTATTCTTTTCTCAACAGTTGCATTTCAGCTAGAGGAAAACACTAGGCCAAATTAACGTCTGCTACAAACAAATGTGTTCTCTTTGAAATAAATGCACCCACTTATGCTCTGCCTGCATTACGTCTGTTACCGGGTTTTTATGAGATTTGGCAAGTGCAGTGATATCTGTTAATATCTGAAGGTGGGAGTGTTCAGGGAGTTGTCTGAAAGGCTTGCAAGACTAGATCTGATCATATCCACCCACACTAATTAACACATTACATAAAAGTATAACAAGTTTCTCTTTGCAAACATCAGAATCACTTGCCCAGGCACTTTCTGTTAAGTTCTAGAAGAACTATAGGGATGGACTCTGTCACTTTTTAACGTCAACAGAACAATGGATGAGAAGGTGGGGTATAGTTCCCACTTCCAGGGCTCATTGCTTTTCTTCATCCTGCTAAAAACATGCCATCAGCAGGGATACAGCTGAAAGGACCTTTTTAAAGTTCACCAAGGGTGCATGCGGGAACATGTTTTTTTTTTTTCCTCATCAAAACCAAAATACAAAATCCAATATTAAACATGAGGAATCAGATTTATTTACAAAGGACTCCTCCTCTCCCTGCCCTGCCTTGCTCATTCTGAAAATTACTTTGTACAAACACCAGCCTCTGAAAACACCTGGAACTGGAAAATCCTCCCATTTAAATAGGGTCTTTTTATGTCAGGAGAACATATGTCCCAAAACGGCTAACATTTCTCTATCATTCCAATTTTAAAACAGCAGTAATCTCCTGTATAAAAACTATAGTAAGGGGTCTTCTACTTCTTCATAGATTGGAGCAAGTAAAACTGGAAGAGCTTAGCTAATTTCATATGAAACTTCTGTGACCTGGTCCTACAGCTTCACCTAGGTTCCTCCAGCAGAATAATATATACCCTGATTTAGATTTACTCCAGACTCTTTGTATGACATCTGGCTTCAAGATGGTGGCACTGAAAAGTGCAGTAATGACATAGGAAAACAGAAGGAAAAAAAACAATTGTGCAGTGGAAAGCAGGAGGCAGTGGAGAGAGCAGGGAAAACCAAAATTAAAATAAGTCACAGGGCGGAAATTCCTTTGAGAAGGCCTTAGGCTTCAACAAAGCTTGTCCACATTTGCGGTACTTCAAGATTACCCAATACTAACCTTATGTGAAAAGGGACAGTAGACCTCAGCAGGCATTCCACAGGAGCCTTTCTATAAAAAAAAGTCTTCAAATGTATCCATCCAAATTTGCAAGTAACTCACTGGACGGAGAGCATTCTATCTCGCAACACTCACAAGAGAAGAAACTCTCTTACCCAACTCTTCCTTACTATCTGAAAAGCAAAGTCAGTGTTTTCCTCATTATTTTCCATTTGCTGCATACCTCTCCCCCACTGTGACTGCTATTTGACCTGTTGTCCGCTCAGAGACCCTGAGGGAAAGATAGAGGGAAGTTTGTGTGTATTTGTATGAGAGGAGTAAGATGACATGAGTCTCAGCTATGTTCTGACTTGTTTATATTCATTAGAAAGAAATCAACAGCACTTAGTAAGTAAGACAACCTCTGAAGATAGGGAACATCTTTTATGCAGTGCAGGAAAAGAGCAGATTCATCTAAGGGACAGGATTTGGGGATGAGTGGGGAGTTAATTTCAATGTGTGTACTAGTTTTTGCCTCACTTTTGCATTAGGATGTCATCAATGAATAGAATCTCAGCATAAAGGTTTAATTTAAGGGGGACACTGCGGGGGGTGCCCTCTTTCACCACTTCTGTTTGCTTTTGCATCTACAAGCCTGGCACGCCTGACTGATTAATGAGAAACTAGAAAGGATTAGAGTGCATAAAGGGAGGTATGTATAATCATCCCTTCCCCTCCCAAGTGTCAATATGGTACCTTCAATATTCTTGGCAGATGCTGGAAGTGTTCTCCCCTCATTGCACTTGTGTTTTCAATGAACTGTGTTTCTTCTCAAAAAATTGACAAAAAATAAAGCTGAAAGCATCTATTAAAATCACAGAGATCAAAGTTTCTTTTCATCCTCTCCAGAGCGCCTCAGACATCTAGGAATTCAAAACAAAACTCCATTGTAAGAAACCTTTTCAAAGCTGGCACAGTGCTACAGCTTATATGTTCTCCACTCGGAAGGAAAGCACTGACCCAGATAGGAGAGCTCCTCAAAATACCCATGCAGGCAGAGGGGCTTTGCATCAATGGCACTTATGGCAATATCTGCCTTGTGAACTGCTCAAGAAGAGATGTATCTACTGATTTGCAGTAAGGTTCAGACCTTCAGATTTAACATTCACATCATTGCACCTAAGTAGCTGGTCTCCATTCTACGTGGCAGAACCAAAGGAATATCTCAAATACAGCTCATAGCTTTTCTGCTGTAACTCAGATCTCTTTTAGGAAACGATATATTTCGGCATATGCGTTTTTCCTCTTCTGCTTTTGACAAACATTTAGGTAGTCAGACTTACAACTTTTGAGGTAGGGAAACACTAGAAATATCTGCTTTGCAGGTCAGGGTGCACCTTGAAATTACGCAGCTTGCCCCAGGTCACACAGATCATCTATGGAAAAGCTTGAAATTCAAGTCAGGAGCCCTAAATTCACTCCTTTCCTTTAACCACGTGGCCTTCCTTCAGGCGCTTCACTCAGGCGTTCTCCAGTTAGGCTTGTTACTTTCCTGTATTGCAATTATATTAATTCCTCTTCTAGTAGTGTTCCAATATGTTTTGACTACATTGCTATGCCTAGTCCTGCACACTGCATCTGGCATAGGAATGCAGTGTTGCTCTTACTAGGCTGTCAAAGAGAATATATCATTACAAAAATAAATAATGTCTAGCTGCTTCTGGCATTTCAGTCCAAGCAGTATTTATCACTTTTGGCTGATCAGTGCCTGATTCAATGCCCCTAAAAAACAATGGGTATATTCCCAATTGAATTCAACGTGCATTTAATCAGGTCTTTGCTAACTGTGCTTCCAAACTTCACATTTCACGAGCACTACAGTACTCTCTATTCTATTTTTAGAGCATTATTCCACTTACTTCAGTGTGCAGATTGATACAATGGATTTTCCTCTGCATGGATTATGTCAGTGAATGTACGTTTGTACAAGCAGGCTCTAGTTTTAGTTCTAGATTTAGTTCATCCCCAATGTGATGCTGCCTACATGCGTGGCAATCTGGGATTAATGCTAAATATATATATTTTATCATAAATGAACAAAAATATTCAGAAAGACAATTAAATTTCATATATGAGTTCAGTGACAGAAAGAATCTTCCACTGTTCAAACTGCCTGCTCTTCTGACTGAGCATTCCTCTCCTGCCTTCACAGGTGAAGTGAGACAGCTTTCTTGGGCCCAGCACAGTCCTTCCAGACAGAAGTCCTGGGTGGCCTTTAACAAAGAAAACATTGCTTCACAGTTAGCTCCTTCCCTGATGTGAGCTGGGAACAGTTTCATCAACGGATGTGAAGTGAAAGAAGGAAAGGAAGCTTCCATTAAATGTCCATAACTTTTAGTTCTTCAAAGTATTTTTAAGTTCCCCATTCAAAAAGCTGAAATGAAACCAGTAGCAGTTGGTAACTGCAGTTCCTCTGAAGAGAAGGGATAAAGTATAGGGTGTGACGTGCTGCCTCTCAGCTGAGACAGCCTACAGACACTTTAGAAACAAAAATTACATCTTAAAACTATGAGTAGATTTAACAATTGAACTCTAAAGAATTAAACATCATATAAACATTTCACACTCTTTTGTTTTTCTTTCCAAGGGTCCATAGTCTAGTCATTCAATCCTGTGCAAAGGTCATGTTACTATGGATATGACCTGCAAGAAATGTGTTGCCTCAGAGCAGTGCAAGTCACATGAACAGGCTAGAAGCCAAGACTGCTGATTCACAGTCTTGTCAGGATTTTCATGCTTGTGTTGGTTTCACTGAAGAATAGTCCTTGCACCATCAAGTCTATGTTCGTCCTTTAAAAGTGTTCATGCAGGTATAGCTCCCAGAAAACTTGTGGATTTCTTCAAGTGCTGCCTGAGGGAGAATGCTGCAGGAGAAGCAGAAAGAAAATAAGCAGACCAGACAAACCTCTTAGTCTATTCTAATAAGAGGATGTATAAATATGCATTTATGTACACACATAAGTACACATATTCTTAAAAATCAGATAATGAGAGCGCACAGACCAAACGTGTCAGTATCCTGCTGTGAGTAGGCCTAAAAGGAGAAAGTTATATCAAGTCACTCTTTCTCTACAGAAATATTTATCCAAAAAGGTCTGTAAAAACTCTAACTTGGAAGATACCATCATGTTTTACTCCTCCCAAATATTGTGCAGAATCTTGCACTCTGAAATACACAAATTTAAACTGAGTTCTCTAGTTAACTTGCCATCTATTTGGCTAGGCATGTGGACTCCTTATCATGAGGTATGGATATAGATATAATTTCCTGACAGCTACCGTAATGGAAAATAAATGATTAATTCTTAAAATAAAAGAGAAGGAGAACAGCCCTTTTTCAGTCTGCAGAATTTCTGGGAACTTTTGGGAGTATCCCAAATTTTACATTCAGAGCAAAGCATTTATTGTGAATTATTTTTTCTTGCTTGAAATGCAATATTGCAGTTATTTTCCACAGAAATCTCATGGCCTTGTTTCAGTTCCTGACTGAAGTAGGTTTTCCAAAGGCTTTAGTGCAAACTCTCATGGAAATGCGATTTTGAATGTCCTTTCTCTTTAGTTGTTTCAGGATATGAAGTTATGACTTTCTTTCCTTAGGGACTTTAAAAATCATACACAAAAATATTTTTTTAATAGTTTCATTGCTTTAACACAAGCAATGCTCTCTAAATACAGCTGTGATGTACATACCTTATTGTACAGAAATCCTTTACAATATAAAGCCTAGAGTCCAAAGAGTGGCTTACTAAATCAAAATCAACTACACGCATATATTAATTGTTAAGAAATTTCCGAGATACAAATACCAGTTCAGAACTCAGGAATCAAAATTTTGGGAGTGAAACTGGTTTCATAAAGGGGTTATATTCAGGGAAACCATCTACAAAGGGAATCTCAGAAAGTCTTCTCCCTTTTGCTTCCATGACTATCTTTCATGGGAAGGGATGAACCAATCTGATCCTGGATATGGGGTTACAGTCAAACTGAGATTTGCCTTGGTGGACAGACATAGAGAACTGTAAGCCAATCTTGCCTAACTGGCTAGGCTATTGCTGGGCAAAGGAAATATTTACCTTTTTAGGATAACAAGAACATGCATTGTCCATGGAAGGAGCAGGAAGGCTTGATTCATCTGAACGGCTTCTACTGTCCTCCTAGCCACTGTCTCTGGCTTGAGGGGAGGAAAAAGATTAGGGAACCTGAATAAATAAAGCAAAAAATAAAATGATTATTTGTTACCCGAACTCCTCCTTTAAGATATCACTGTCCAAGACCTGTTACTCACTAAGCTATCACTGGTTACTGGCATTCAAACATGCCCCAAAGCAGGCTGGAAGAAGCAGAAAGTTCCAGTTCCAGCCAGAAAGCTGGAAAGCAGAAAGCCCAGTTCCAACCAGTACTACTGCGTTAGCTAAATGGTTAAGAATGTACATGTTGGTGCCTTTAGGGAGAAGTGGCAGAGTGCATACAGAACCTTGATTCAGGGATTTTCTTAAACTGTATGCAAACGAATACCAAAATGCTGTCTTTTCAGTGTTGGTGTTTTTCCTCTTCCTCTCTGTTGCTCTTTGCTTGATTCAAATTCTTGACAGGTGAAAGACAAGTATTTTCCCCCATTGCTTTTAATACCAATCATAAGGCTTTTCCCAGCTCCAGCAATAGCTTTACACTGCATATTTTCTTGACTAAGAGAGCATAGACTATATTAATAGGTTATTTTGTCCATTGTAAAAGATTAATTTGGTCAGCCGTTAGTCTTTGCATTTAGCTTGTTCTCTTAGATAGAGGTAAAAAGGAGGTACTGATAGCCTTACTTCAGTAAGTGGCTGTCATTCCTTTCAGTGGGAAAGAATTAAGTATTTCAACGAATAAGGAAGGAATTTGTACTGTTCATTTTCCAGTAATTTTTAGACTGCTCCTTTAGAATGACCTCAATTTTCAGAGTACCTCCCCTCCTTCTCTGGTGGCTGCATATGGCCCAAATACACTTAGGGAAAAATAGATTTCAGTTTTCTCTGTAGAAGCAAATGTCTCACTCAGTACAGGCAGGCTGTATGAATATGCCAGCAAACTGAGGGAACCAGTCTGATGAGTCCCAGGTGGCCTAGAGTGACCCTCTGTTCCCAGGCAGCCAAATGAGACATCAAATTCTCTTAACTAAATGAGGCATTAATTAGGAGTGTATTCTGATGATTCATTTAAAATGAGATGCTTTATTCTAGTTCCCCTGGACTGACCTGATTCTCATGCCCTGAAACATCTCTGTGCTCGTGTGGAAGGGCAGGACTGTTGTGGCATTCACTCCAGGACAGTCTAGCAGCCCCAACGTCAGGCTCTCCATAAAGGCAAAGGATGAGGCTTTGGAGGTGCAGTAGTCAATGGCACCAGGGATGGCTGACAAGGCCAGGACAGAGTTCAGGCAAACAATGTGTCCATTCTGCAACTCCAGCATCCTTGGTAGGAATGCTTTGGTAGTTTGAAGAACAACGGGGGTGGGGGGGAAAGGGGGAAAAAAAGGTTTGCTCAGCAGAGGTACAACAAAAACTATAGTTACTGAAAAAAATAAGGTGACTCGGAGACAATAAGCCAAACTGTGTTGTTCATTATGCTAGGAAAGGAGCGGGAGAGTACCTTGTTGTTTTGTCATTTTCTGAAAACAGGGAAAGTTTGTGTAGGAACAAAACAAAATCTTTCCTACCACGTAAGTAAGCAGTACCCACAGATAAAGGCCACGAACAGAATGCTTTGTGTGTTTAAGAACTTCTTGTAGAGGATAAAGTCTTCAACAAAGTGATGAAATCACAGCAGCTCTTTTTTTATTATCTAATTCAAAATGGAATGAGTTTCACACTACTTTCTTTCCCTGAGCAATGTAGTCTCATGCTCCTCTGATGTTCCATACACATCATTGTACAGAAAACTATCCTCTGTGAGCTCAGGCTTTCTCAAAAGAAACCAAGTGTTTTACTGGAAATCACAGAATGGGGATACAAGAGCATCAAATATGTGTTACTACTAGAAAAAATAAATTTTTTTAGACTTCTTTCCTCTGGCCTTTGTCCCTCACATTGTTTTTTCTGTCTCCTTTTCATGTCAGACTGATTTTACCAAGCATCATTTAGAAAGACCTAGTAGCAGCCAAGTGTTTACTGGCTGTAATCTGTCACTCTCATTCCCAGTTCTGAACACATGTGACACAAGAGCTTGTCTTACCCAGAACTGTCCCAGGGTGTTTATATGTTGTGATTTGAGCAATGCATCATCATCGCTGTCCATCAGACTCTTACCATGGACCACAGCAGCATTGTTCACCAGGATAGTGATATCACCCACCTGCAAAAAAAGCAAATGACTTGTTACAACTAATATCTCTCCTCATGAATCAGCAGTCACTGTTATATCTGAATATCTATTATTGCCTAAATACATTATTACTTTCATAGCTTTTGACATTCTTGCCTACAGGCCTTGTAATCCTTCTGGATCACTTAAAACAGGTAGCTAGACTTTGTACAACATAATATGGATGGTCACCCTTCTCTTTTCCCAATTTGCCAATATATTTTTTTCCTCATCAAATATAAGTCATTACTAAATCTTGCCCACAAACAGTGTTTGCACAGACACTAACCTTTTCCCGCACAGCTTTGGCTTGCCGATAGACCTCCTCTCGATTTCCTACATCACAAATGAAATAATGGCATTCTGTCCCCATCATCCTGATTTCCTCTGTGGTCTCCTTCAGGCATTTCTCAGTTCGACCCCACAGGATGATCTGCAGCAAGAAACTTTTGTTAGAGTCAAACTGCTTCTGCTTCAAATCTAAAATAATTAAAACATGCTTCTAACTTCAACAGTTTGATGAACATCTTTGATGTGTTTTCACTGCCAGCCCTGTTGCATTGTTTCATTTAAGACTAGGAATGATTTTCTGTTATGTGGGGATGGGACTTGAGTATCATGACGGTAGTTCATCCCACTGCTGATACTCTATTTACAGGTTCTTTACAAGCAACACAATAGCTAACACAAAAAATCAGATCTTTAGCCTAACATGACAAATATATGAAACACTTGGCAAATTTTCTGTATCATGAAATTTCAAATCTATCCCTGCTTTTGCTATACACACACAGAGAAAGATAAATTTATTCTAAAATCACAGACCTTCCTGTATATCTGGTATGTAATCTACTTCTTATTCTACATTTGGAGATAGTACCTGCTCTGCATTAAAACATATTTTTTCAGGGTATCATATGTAACTATTTGCAATGCTGTTTGCAGGCTGGTGTCGTAGATACGTTTCAAACGAGAGGTTCATCCTGATACCGACATTTAAAGTCAGAAATTTCAAGCATTAATTTATTTTGCAACTAATATACACAAGATTTTACTTGCCACTCCCATTTAACACAGTAAAAATCATGCACTACTTCTTGTACAAAGAACAATTCTGAATATCATATAGCATGGATTTGATATATAATGAAGACATAACCAACACAACCCTACACCATCTACATCATGATGTCTACACCATCATGGAGATCAGAAATAGAAATAACCTGAAAAGTTACCAGGTTCATTAACTTCCATTGTGGGGCTTTATCCAGTATGATTTTTCTTAGACAACACCACTAGTCTCAAGTATGAGATGGTGCTTCCATCACTGTTTTTCAAACAATCTACAGCTAAACAGAGTTAACGAAAATATTTTTTTCCTTGTATATAACCTTATTTTCTATTTCTTTTAAGCTACTGGAAGGAATATAATTTCATCTCTCTGCTACCTAAGACATCTATATATGAATCAATCTACCCTTTTTTCTCTTCAAGTTAAGTTTTCTCAGCATTCATCATATTATGAATGGTGAGTCACTTGGCATTCTGCAAAAAATAAATTACTGAATGGAGCGTGTTACTGAAATCAGCTGACTGCTCTGTAAGTAAACAGCAAGATCCAAAAGAGAAAGAAGAAAAGGTTGCTACTGCTCACAATTGCAACTGTGAGCACTGATTATGCAAAATTACTATTTAGTACTAAAAAATAAATGAGGACATTTACATAGTCAAATGCAGGTTTACTCTGATCAGGGGACTGGGAAAATGGACTTTGAAAATGCAAACAGCTTTGTTGCTCTCAGAACAACTAATCTCTCTGGTATTTCCAAGCAGCGGCCTTATCACCTGTGATCCAGGATTACAGTTGCTTATCATACCACTGTGTATTGAGTATGAATCTGACTGCTATATTGATTTTTTAATGGTTAAAAATAAGCACACTTTACCTTTAAAGAGTTAATAATCTTGGAGTTTTCCAAAAGTTGGAAGAACAGGGAAAAAAAGTCTAAATTATATCCCTCAATTAACTTAGTAGCAGCAAAAAAATTTAGGACCTGTGGTATTCCCTCCCCACAAGAAATCTCTTGCAGAGAGCTTTAAACATGCTTATTTTTAAGGACTAGTTAAGCTTATCTCATAACTGGTACTAAAACTAATCTCTGGCAGGGTCAAAGAGCTCTTCCAGTGCGACTAGGCAAGGTTAAAATGCAGAAGTACCTGGCTCCTCAACCATTTCCTAAATTAGTTAAATTTACAATTAATCCCATTTATAAATCATTGGCATATCTATGAACATCAACACACACAGACTGATAGACTTATATTCTCAAAATCACCAAAGGACTAACGAGTTGGTTAACCAGAAACTTCAGACCATGTATAAATATGCCAGAGCCATTTCATGGGAAATCTTATCTCAGGGGGAGTAATTTTCAAGGAAAAAGCTGTGACCAGACTTAAAAACTGTAAGAAAGCATATGGTTAAAAATGTGGCTTGTGTATTGGCCTGTCTCAGCATATCACCCTTGGCCATCAGGCTTTGGCATCTACATAAAGCTTGTAAAACTGATGGCTGTTTACTTGCATCTGAACTCAGAGCTAGACCTGGTGATATTTCTTATGCCTACTCTGCAGGCTTGAAGGGAAATCAAGAACATGTGAGAAATTTCACAAGCTTTCAGGAAATATTTACAAAATACTGTTCAACTATAAGCATACACACTTACTTGCTCTCTTTCACAACCTACATCTCTGTGGAAAGGGGAGAAAAAAACCACTACAAAATGTCAACTGTAAGCATCAAGTTTGATGCCCACAGAGTTTGCATCAGTGTGAACTGCAACCTCTTAGCAGGATTGGATCACTCAAATGGAGACACTAAAAAATTAACTGACAAGTTGAATAGTGATGGAAGGTAGGAGAGGAAGAGGAGAGAAAGAGAAATAAGGTGTCAGACAAGGGGAGTAAGGCAAGAACCTGACCTCCTATACCTAGCACTCTAGGGTTTCACACTGCTATTGCAAAATAAAAAGTAGATCACTCACTCTTCACTTTAATCTGTTTCAAACATCCATACAGCCTCCTATTCCCAAGAGTTACCACTGATGCATTGAATGTCAGGAAATATACATGGAAGAATAGTTAAGCAAAGGACGACCTGTCAAAGGAACATCTGTCTGTGATGCAACTCTTGGACATAACATTTTTTATGCCCCAACAGTTACTTTGGGACCCTTAATATCCTACAGGCAAGTCTTGCAAGGTGACCCCATTAAAATCTGGGCCATCTGGGGAAGACAGAATTTGCTGGTTATCCTGCTGACAGCATTAACTTCAGTACTGTTTTTTTTCCATGGGAAGTTTTTGTGTCCTTGATACTGTTCCCACTCAGGTGAAGGCTTCAGCCTGCGTAAGAGAAAAGCAGTAAATAAAAGACCATTCTTTCGTGAGAGGTGAAAGTTCCCTAACGACACAGTGGGAAGTGAGGTTTCCTGCCGTCATTTCTGCTACCTTTTACAGATGGATAAAACTCAAAACTCAATACAACATGCTTTTGGTCCAAATTCAAGCTTGACTGCTCCTACAAGATCATATGAGACTTTCAATTTCTCTCTTACATCTGGCCAAATTAAATTGGCACGGGCTTTCCTCTGGCCTCCTAGGGTATCAGATCTTACGGAGAGACAAGACTTTTAGTTCCTGCATTACCCTCATACTTGAGGCTTCTGTTGCTCCTGAACTCTGTCTTTACAGAGGGCTTTGGCTTAGTGTTTCTGTATAGGCAATACTTCTCTCTTCTTTTCTTGCTTGCAGCAGTTTCATCAATGTTTTTCTAGGTCCTTACTCTACTATTGCCTCCTGAGATTTCTACAAACGTACTCATCAGTCTTCTGCTCTCCTGAATTCACCTCCTTCTGCAGAATCTGCAATTTGAAAATTTGCAGTTTGGCACTCATAAGGTTGTGTTATTTGTAACATTCTCACTAAACCATTCAACTACACAGCATAAGAGTCAGGGATAATCATGCATGGTCTCAATGTTACAACAACTTTTTCTTGCTTGCAGCAGTTTCATCAATGTTTTTCTAGGTCCTTACTCTACTATTGCCTCCTGAGATTTCTACAAACGTACTCATCAGTCTTCTGCTCTCCTGAATTCACCTCCTTCTGCAGAATCTGCAATTTGAAAATTTGCAGTTTGGCACTCATAAGGTTGTGTTATTTGTAACATTCTCACTAAACCATTCAACTACACAGCATAAGAGTCAGGGATAATCATGCATGGTCTCAATGTTCCTGAACAAAAACTTTTGCTCACTGTTGAACTGATGAACTATTGTGGGCCTGGGCCTGTGTTTTGCTGATGCCCTGTGAGCTCCAGTTAGCCTAAAGCTGCGCAGTTGGCTCCTCCCTTTATATGCAAGCAAGTATGGAAACAATTCTCATTTTATTCTTTGCTTAGTCAACATCAAGAAAGGCATCATTTAGCTTTATCCTACCCTAGTTAGGATTTGAGGGCTCTGCATTTGTAAGGATCTAGAGCTGCAGTTTAGGAAATGGTCCATTTTACTAGGAAACACAATTTTCAAAATGTAGACATGGGTCTTGGATTCTGGTCTGTGCCTCCTTTCCTTTTTAAATTTAATTCTAAATTGGCAATAAGTATGTCCCCACTGGAGGCTAAGTCCTGTAAAGAATGACTCTTACAGACACAGAAGTTCCTGTCTGGGACAGAGGAAAATGCAGAGGAATAAAGGAGAACAGAGACATGGTGTTCCTTGTTACACAGCCTGTCAGGATGTTGCACAGCCACCCATTCACAATAATTTAATGGTGGATAGAGGAATATTTAATTTGTGTTTTGGAGAAGTTCTTGGACAGACAGTTTTCCGTCCTGGAAAGAATCCAGCCACTATTTCTTCTCCCCCTTCATCTCTTGTCATCCTCTCCTGCCTGCCCCTCCCTACTGCACTAGACACGCTCTCCTTTCAAAAAGTTACTGACCAGAAAATTGTCGAGGGCAACAGCCCAGCGAGGCGGTTAATCCCCGCTGTGGCAGGCCCGCCGGGATGCTTCCTGCCCCGTGGTTACCTCTGGGTGACCCCAGGGGTTGGCAGTCAGGGAGGCAGGTGGAATGTTAAAGCAATCGCTTATGCTCCAGGCTGCTGGCGAGAGGCGATGAGAGCCCAGGCAGCAGCAGGGTAGGGGTCTTCCTACCATTGGACATACGAAAGAATAGATTTATGGTGACAGAGGAACATAACACGCCCTCCTCTTAATTAAGTTTGAAGTCGGTAACGGCTGTGACATCATAGTTTAGTGCAGATTTTCCCAGGATTTATTCATGAGCAGACTTTTTGCAAAACAAACCTTATCTCTAGATCTCCCCTCTGGCAAGCCACAGAACTGCTTATCTGGCCTTAGGAAAAT